AAAAAATATCCTCCAGATGATGCCAATAAATAGGGAATTCCTGGACTTGATAACAACCCCGAAGGTCGACGGAGTGATTCTGACAGTTCGTACGAACGACAAGACTCCACGTCTGGAAGGTACCCTGTGCCTGACCTGTCACCACATGCTGCTGTCGTCCCGTCAGAATCACCGCCACGAGCTGTGGCTCCTCTACAGGAACATCGATCAGGTTGAGAGAAAAATGAATAATCAGAGTCCAGGTGGCTGTCTCCTCCTCAAATGCAAGGACTTCCAGATCCTCCAGCTGGATATATCCTCCACGGAAGACCTGATGAGCGTTTCCTCCTGCCTGGAGAAGCTGTCCACCCTGGAGCAGGTGCGCCAGTATCCATTTTTCTATCGTCCCCCGTCCGACGAGACTAAACACCAGAGTGATGACGGATGGTCGTCATTTACTCCAGTCTCCGAGTGGTCTCGACTCCTGGCGTCTCATGGTGACGAGTGGAGGATCAGCTACCTCAACAGGGATTACAAAGTCTGCAATTCCTATCCCTCCGCGATGATTGTCCCACGGTTGATCGACGACGACGTCATCATGGCGTCTGCTGGATTCAGAGATGGTGGAAGATTTCCAATAATCTGCTACAGGCACGAAGGTGGAAGCATCCTCTTCAGGAGTGGACAGCCCTTGTGTGGAGCTAATGGTAAACGATGCAGAGAGGATGAAAAACTTCTGAACATCGTCCTGGGGGCTGGCAGGCGAGGATACGTCGTCGACACGAGATCCACCAATCAGGCGCAGAGTGCCAGAGCCAAGGGTGGAGGCACTGAAATTGATTCTGCTTATCCACAGTGGAGGAAGGTTTATAAGAGCGTTCCCAGGCTCGGTGAGTTGTCTGAGAGCCTAGGGAAACTCCTCGAGGCATGCAATGATGTCAGTTCCTCCAGTGGACAGTGGATCTCCAGGTTGGAGGGCTCCGGCTGGATGGGGCATGTTCAGGGCGCTATGAATGCTGCTTGTGTTGTTGCACAGTGTCTTGATCAGGAACTTGCTGCTGTTCTCGTTCATGGTGAGAAAAGTTTAAATATTTTCTAAAACTCATACCACACTCAACCATTTTTTTATTATTTAATAGCTCATGGAGTTTTCTGGTGGAGCGATAACTCAATTTTTTATTTCTAAAACTGGATTGTAAACCCATTTTTTATTCCATGCCAATCCCATTGTGATGAACCCCTAGGTTCGAGTGGTCGTGATTCAACACTGGTGGTGACAAGCCTAGCCCAGGTGATCCTGTCGCCGGCGTCACGTACAATCCGAGGCCTCCAGAGTCTGATAGAACGTGAATGGCTGCAGGCAGGTCATCCCTTCTTCACGAGAACCCGTCACAGCGCCTACTCCACCACTCAATCCCACACCAGTCCCCATTCACCCATTTTCCTCCTCTTCCTGGACGGTCTTTACCAGCTGCACCACCAGTTCCAGTACAGCTTCGAGTACACGACAGATCTCCTGATTGAGCTATTCAGACACGCCTACTCCTCGGAATTTGGCACCTTCCTCGGGGACTCCGAGGCCGAGAGGATCACCCTCCGCCTCCCAGAGAGAACCACCAGCCTCTGGCCCCACATCAACAAACCTGAAAACCTGGAGAAGTGGATGAATCCCCTCTACGAGGCAAATCCCACCGTTATCTGGCCGAGTGTAGCACCAATCAGTATTCGTCTCTGGAAGGAATTGTACCTTCGTCACACACCTGTGGCACCCTGGGACGGATTCAACACCTGCGTCAAGGAGTTGAAGGAGAATTACTCGTCTGTCAAGAGATTCGCTGAACAACTGCGGAATCAGGTGCGTCAAGCTCTCGATGAAATCGAGATACAGAGCAATGGCACTCCCTGTCTCAAGGAACATGACGAGCAGGTGCAGATGTGCCTGGGGAAGCTCAACATAGAGACACCATCCTCATAATATCGACTGAAGGACATCTTCAGGAAGTGAGACAACTGAATTTGTATTTCAAGTTCTTCGAAGAGACGATTCCCACCTCGTTATTGTACATATCTCAGAAGCTAATGTTATTTATCAATAATCTATCATTATTAACTATTGTTTAGGTCTTCTTATTAATTTAAACTATTTTGATAACTCTGTAAATATTCAGAGACAAATCCCCAACGAAAAGTGTTTTCTATTTCAGTCCATATCTCGGATTTGAAGGCACATAGGCATTTTTTTGTATAAAAACTTTTTATAGGGAAAGATTAGAGCTACAAAAAAGGTATCCATGAAAATTTCGGTATCTTCCCTTGATCTCGAGTAATTACCAAAAAACTGGTCTTTAAAAAAAATCACTTATCCTACTCCACGATTTCGTGATAGAAATATCATTATCAATTATTTCCTTACGATTATTCTTAATTAGAGATAATTATTAGGGGTCAGAAGATTCGTCTGGAATTTTTAAGAGCGAATTACTGATAATTATTCCATCTTTACCTCGCGAAGTGTAATGAGGTAATTAGAAGTAATTAGAGAATATTGCGGATTAGCTGAGGTCTAGAGCCATTTATTACAATTCCAGTAAATAATATGTACATATGATATACAATATGAAACTGCAATCTTCGATTTACGTAGATTAGTACTGAGGAATGTCAATATCATGTATAAATTATTTTCATCTAGCTCCATTTAGGGATAATTATTATTGCATGTCTAAATTTTCACTCGTAATTGTGTAGTCAATACAGATGTAAGAGGATTTATGAATTTAGTCGTGAGAGAAGGAAAAGGAAACAATAAAATAGAATATTATAAATTTTTCAACAATTCCCAGGCATCGAAAATGTTATTTACAATTAATCCACTGTAAAGATGTGGATAAATCGTCGATATCAGTTGCTTATCAGTTCTGATAAATTTTTGGAAATAATATTTATCACTTTGTAAAGACGAATTCTCGAACCTGTGGCCTCTAGATTTTTGTAATAAATTAAAGATGCAAGAGAATTCGTAAAACGTTATAAAACAAGTTGGACTTGTTTTATTTTTTAATTACCTCATGACCGAGGTAATTAATTCGCAAAAAACATTGCATTATATATTAATTAACTGAGGACCTGAAATTAACCGACACTTTCAAGATTTTTAATGATTAAAATATTCACAACTGAAATAAATTTGTTTAATATAATAAATTTGAGAATTTTATGTTCTGGGGAAAAAGATTTTCTGTTTCGAGGAATCAATAATGCATTTTTAATATTATAAAATAATTTGTAAAAGTTCATACCCTTTCCTGTCCTTATTAGCGATTTGGATTATAATTATAGTCCATAAA